TCCCTCTGTTTCCCCCCATGTCTGTGTCTCCCCCCAAAATTCAATAAATAAGAAAAAAAGAAAAGAAAAGTAAATGGGCAAAGGATATGAACAGGCAATTCCAAAAGGTTAGTAATGAGAGAACAATCAACTTTAATTGTGCTCATAAGTAGAAATTAGTCCCGCTGGCAGCGTGGCATCGACCTGTGAACCTGGAGGTCACAGTTCCATTCTGGTCAGGGCACATGCCAGGGGTATGCAGGAGGCAGCCGATCAAAGATTCTTTCTCATCACTGATGTTTCTATTTCTCTCTCCCTCTCGCTTCCTCTCTGAAATAAATAAAAATATATTTTAAAGATAATAAAATATAATAGAAACCACATGAGATATCATTTTACACTTATTAAGATAGCTATTATTACTAAAATAAATAAATAAATAAAATCCCTGGCCAGTGTGGCTCCCCAGAACCTAAAGGTTGTGGGTTCAATTCCCCACCAAGGGCACATACCCGGGTTGCAGGTTCCAGCCCCAGTGGGGGCGTGTGTGGAAAGCAACCAATGGGGGTATCTCTCTCACAATGATGTTTCTCTCTCCTTCTCCCCTCTTCCCTCCTTTCCTTCCACTATCTCTGAAAAATCAATGGAAAAAATATCCTCAGGTGAGAATTAAAACAACCAAACAAAACACAAAGAACAGAAAGTAGCAAGGATGTGGAGAAACTGGAACCCTTGTGCATTGCTGGTGGGAATGTAAAAATGGTGCAGCACTGTGGAAAATGGTATGGCAACTGCTCAAAAAATTAAACATGAAATTACCGTATAATTCAGTAATTTTACTTCTGGGTATAGACCCAGAAGAACTGAAAGCAGAGACTCAGGTATTTGTACACCCATATTCATAGCAACAGCTGAATGGATAAACATAAAATGTGGTATATACATATAATGAAATATTATACAGCCTTAAAAAGGAATGAAATTTTGAGATGCTACAACATGAAGTAACCCTAGAGACATTATGGTAGGTGAGGTAAGCCAGACACAAAAGGACAAAAACTGTATGATCCCACTTATATGCGATACCTAGAGTAGTCAAAAACCATAGGGGCAGAAAGTAGAACAGTGATTTGGGTTGGGTTATTTGATGAGTACAGTGTTTCAGTTTGAAAAGATGACAAAATTCTGGACTTGAACGGTAGTGATAGTTATAGAATAATGTGAATGTACCTTATGCCATAAACTATACATTTAAAGTATTAAAATGGTAAATTTCATGTTAGATATATTTAATTTAAAAACAAAAATTAAAGAACATTGCCTTGAATCCAGCCCCTCCAGCTAGCAGAGCCGCTGACCTATCTAGACAGCGCAGCTGACCGCCCCCCCCACCTGGGCCTCCGCTCCCGGCCCC